GTTATATAAAGTAAATGTACTGTATTAATAATAACATAGCGTATATTTAAAAAGATAAAGTTAATACGGCTGTGAATTAACGTGAGCATTTGACGTCCAATGATAAACGGTACTTTACGATTTAAGCATCAAAAGGTTTCGCTAGTATACTCTCAGGAAATATAGTTTCATTTATTTCCATCAATGTATGGATATTTTCTGCTTAAATCTTAACTTTTTACAATAAAATATAATTGCGTTAATTTGTTTCTAACAACTTCCCAATTAAAATGTAACTATACTTTCACGACATTTTTTACCCGATACTCTATTTTGTAAGCAACTGAATAGAGTTTGAAACTTTGTACATTGTATTTCTAGGGTTGAGAACTTCAATTTATGTTCTACTTACAAAATTATTAGTGTAATTAATAATGAACAGACAAGTTCAATTTCATGTTCTTTAAATTATACCCGTCCGATATCGCGCGATGAAATGATAAAAAGCGATACATTGAACAAGGATCATTTTAATTGCTTCAGTATCACTTAATAAATTAGTACAGCAGAAATTAAGATCTAATCAACGTAAGGTAACGTCCGTTATATTTATGCGCGATAAAGAATGTATTTTAAACCAAAATTTCCAATAATTTGATATCGCCATTGAAAAATAATTATACTAATAATTTTAGCTGGATGCTTGAGACTGTTGTGACTGAGATTTATTCCGATGTTCATAGTTCACTAATCTTTGTCCCACAAGGTATTTGTCATTTTTTATATGTTCATAAAGTTTCTTAAATTGACGAATTTGAATACATATAACAATACATACTAAGTACACCATTAGGAGGAAAGGGTACAAATGTCTAGCGATAAGAATTTGTGTCTGCAGATTCGTAATTAAAAGTGGAACTATTCCATAAGCTACGGCATACGGAACAGCTAAAGCAAGACCGAAGCAACATATTACTGGAGCTGCTAATTCAGTCACGATAAATTTTAAATCTATTTCTCTAATGCCGTCATTGTATGCTCGTTCAATTGCCATTCGAATTCTCCAATCCGGTCCCATCAACGTAAGGGCTGTCGCTATTTTTGTGTACAAAACACCCAAAGCCCAATCTTGCCAGATAAATAATATCGGATTCTGTTCTAGTGGTACACGTAAAGGTACTACGACGATTAATTCCAGAAGAAGTCCAAATAACAATGGTATTAGGCCAATAAGTAGAAAAAATGCAACTGATGCCTTAAGGCCAATGATTGCCCAATGCTTTACTCTGTCTATTACAGCCCTTCGTCCACGTGGCAGCCAAGAGAATGCCAAAGCTAATCCTCTTGCGGCGCCCCAACATACATACGTTCCACAAGCTACAGTGTAGACCTCGTGTACTCGTCCAGATAAAGCAACCACTGCTTCATTGGTTTCTGCGAAATTTAAAAACAATATAACACCCGTTACAGACCGGAACATTGAAAGTAAAATTTATCACGATTGAAACATATCTTACCAGATCCGCTTAAAGTAGGTGGTAATACTGGTGGAAATGGAGCAGGAGCTCCAACCATCCACAGTGCCATTACTCTGCGTCCAAGCCAAACAGGAAGAGTCATTGCAATCAAGCTAGCGATAACGAGAGAAACGCATACGCAGAACAAAAGACCGATCAGCCTAGCAGGAAACCAGCGTGGCCTGACATATGGTTGGAAAACTGTTGGTCCGTCTCTAGGCAGTAAAGCCTGATGCGCAGCACCTAAATCAAGATGTTGCGGCTCTTCGATCACTGCTGGTTCCGGATCATCCGTCTGGTCTCTCTGAAGATATGATTGGAGATCTAACATCCAGGCTACTACTCGACACCAGCCCCTTACAAGAGACTTTAACCATGTACGTGTGTGGGTTTGTTCCAATAACGCAGGAAGAATCACTTGCAGTAACAACAGTTCCAATGAAAACTCACTGATCTATATCACGAACAAAGTAACAAATACAATAACGACCACGACGTTATTAAACGAAAGTTATTGTTCCGATTTCTTACCTGAGTTTCACTCTGAACAGTCACTGTATACGGTAAAAATCCTGGCCATGCCCACCTCAACAGTTTCACCGGTAACCATAACATTAATAAAATGGTCGTCCCAAATATAACTGCAGATGCAACGAGCCTTTTCACGTGTCTCAAAATTGAAAGATGTATCATTTCTTGCATAGGAGAGAAATCAGGATCATTTAAGTTTCTTAAGAACCATAATACTCCAGGCCGTAACACTTCCCGTAACAGTAGAATGAACGAAGCGAAATAATATATATAAATCATTCCAACCACCCAATGAATAAACATTGAAGTGCCGGGTGCTAATTTGAAAGCGGATTCTCTATCTCTAAGAGTAGCATCAAACATTGCTAACGAACAAATATCTAACCACCAACCACATACTAAAGGAAGTACACCTATCTCGACGACGGATAGTAAAGAAACTTTTACTATAACATAACATAAACCTAGTATACGCTGTGAGTGGTAAAAAGCTAAAAGATCTGCAAGTGTATGAAGAACCACTAAACAGACTCCGATTACACAATAACCACACAATGTTGTTACTAATCCCTCAAAATGAGATGCCGCTGCATATTCTTGCAATCCTAGTCCCGCTATTGCGAAACTACCAATATGATAAGGGCAAAAAGCGAAAACCTGAAACAAAAAATACATCATCTCAATTCATGGATATCAGTTGAATTAATGTACTTAATATTTTGTTTAACTTAAGCATAGACAAGTACCATGATAAATAGAGTATTTAGGGACACAACCCAAAATACATGTTCAAGGAACACTAGAGAACCATCCAAGCCTAAAAGCCGTTCCCACGTTAACTCTTCAGCTGGTCTATCCCATTCCATTGGATTCCAGTTGGCCTCTTCGGCTTCTCCTTGTGCTTGACCTTGAACTTGATCTCTCCACCCTTCGCCAGCTCTTGCATTCGCTTGTTCACCATCTACTTGTACTTCCATGTCTCTATGAGGTATCACTGGTTCTATATCTCTGGGAGCTATAGCTGGTTCCATGTCTCTACGAGGTATCACTGGTTCTATATCTCTGGGAGCTACAGCTGGTTCCATTTCTCTAGGAAGCTGATCTATTTGTTGTTCTCCATTTCTAGCACCTGCATGTAATTCAATATCTCTACCATGTCCTTCCGTTTCATGTGTCCTCTCGTTATTTACTAAATTATTATCCTCTATCCTATGTCCTTCCGCATTTCTAGGATTGTCATTGTTTGGATTTGCTAACAAAACAGGAGGTTCATCGACAAAAGGTGGAACATTATTATTATCTTGAATTTCCTGCTGCTGAAGGGCTCTCTGCCCTTGAAGTGGCTGTTCAGGTATGACTAAACGCGCATGATTACGACCTGCGTGTACTTGTACAATATCTCTTCCAAGCCAATCTGGACCACCAGCATGTAAAATTTGTTCCCTTAACCATACCAAACCAACAAACGCAAATAACGTGCAAGTAACTACAAAGCAACCATGAAATACATCTGAAGATATATTTTCTGCAGATAGCATATCCATTGGTAATGACATTATCTATAAAAACAAATATATATTTCTTCTTTTTAAGAAATCCTTCAATTTTTCTATATTTACCACTTAAGAATACTTACTCGAATTAGATCAAGAGGTCCACTAAACAAAGCTCTGTATGTTCTACAAGCAGTTAATGGAACAACACCAAGCCACGCAATTGCAACTAAAGTATAATGCAACCAATATTTGACTGCTGTGACAATATTAGAAAATAATCCACCAATAACATCTCTTAGTGGCAAACGGCGTGGCATGTCTGGGCTATAGATCGGTGTAAATGAGAAACGATATCCACATAGTTCACAATATTCTTTACGTGAATAACGCATCCATTGCACTAAACATTCTTGATGTATCCATTTAATACTGCCTGTACAAATGCATGGATGAAACAAAGGTCTATCTGCAAGACCTTCAGACCTACAGACTCTACAGATATCTGCACCTAACATGTCCTCCGTCATGTTTGGTTTGTCTTTAAATAAATGATCAGAGTAACAATGTTGCTGAAATAAGAATAATTATTATGAAATTGGTATAAAACCTAACAGCAAGATTACATGGCATTACATGAATATTTATAGTATCACGAATAATTTAAATGCAAACGATAAACGTTACTGAACGTAAATAAAATATTAAATATTCAACAAAGAAAAACTTTATTAAGGTAATTTCAAAATTCTTAAACATTAAAGATGAAAAACATTTCAATATTTAGTAATTACTGCGGAGAAAAATAGAAGTTTCTACAGAAAGTAGAGAAGATAGTAATGAGTGCGTAGTATATACAATATTTGTTTGATGAAAAATATATTTATTCTGAATTTATGCAAACTATTTACAACTTAATTATTGTATACTCACCTGTGCCTTGACGGAAACGCATGAAATCCAAAACTATCATGCAAAATATTGAAAATGTCTACTGTTATTTACACCTCTTTCTTTCTTATGTTAACAAAGTTGCAACACTTGCGACGTAAAAGTTACTGTGTCATTCCTGGTGATTCTCAAATACAATATTTTTAATTACTTAAAATATATTTTCTATTAAAATGAAACTTCTTTGAGATATTATTACTGTCACCGATTATCCTGATTCGTAGATACATTTTTGTTAATAGGGATATTGTGACATCAAGTTTTGCCCATTGTTCGACATAATTGAAGTAGTCGAGTAATGTCAAAGGCGGCAATTGAGAATTCGTATCATTGTAAGTACAAGTTCTGTACAAAATATCTGAAACAAAATGTAAAGTAATATTTTTAATATGCTTGGTGAAAGTAGTACTGGAGACTACAAAATAAGGATATGCACACATAATGATTTAACATAACAATATTCCTTGGAAATGTTAAATGCAATCTATAACCTCTATAGTACTGTAATCAAACATGAGAAATACCTATAATGTAAATCTTTTAATATGTCAAATTTTTCCATAAAGTTATTGAATATTGTAACATTCAATTTCAATAAACCAGCGCAGTATTTCTTATTCGTAAGACACAATAGCTCTAATAACGTCATGAAAGTCCTTAACGTCGCAGAGAAAAATGATGCCGCGAAAAATATCGCAGGTTATTTGTCACGTGGAAACTCCAGGCGGGTAATTAACATTTCTTTTAACTAAAAAAGGAAATAGTTACTATAAAATAATATTTTAATGCTTTTGTCATGTTATAGAGAGAAGGTCTGTCACCATACAATAAAATTTACGAATTTACTTCCAACTTATGGAATCAAAACTGTGATATGATTATGACATCTGTGTCTGGTCATTTGTTGAATAATGAATTTGTTGGAGTATATCGTAAATGGCAAAGTTGTCATCCACTAAGTTTATTTGATGCACCTGTAGCAAAACAATGTTCGGACGAGACTTATATTAAAATTAAAAGAACTTTAGAAAAAGAAATAATGAAATGCACTGCATTAATTATTTGGACAGATTGCGATCGTGAAGGAGAAAATATTGGGTTTGAAATTATTCAAGTCTGCCAAGCAGCTAAACCCAATATACGTGTATATAGGTAATAATGAAAATACATGAGCAAGCATAACTTATTTTGTAAACTAATAAATTAATTTTTTTACAGAGCAAAGTTTTCTGAAATCACGCAGACATCTGTAAATAGAGCACTCCAAAATTTATGTGAACCAGACAAAGCAGTCAGTGATGCTGTCGATGTACGGAGTGAATTGGATCTAAGAATAGGTATATAATAGTAATGTTTTAAAGTATTACAAATAATTCAATTGAAAACCTATAAAATATAATATAAACAATGATTTTAGGTGCTGCATTTACTAGATTTCAAACAATGAGACTTCAGAAAATATTTCCTAGGACTCTTGGTGATATGCTTATCAGTTATGGTAGCTGTCAGTTTCCAACATTAGGATTTGTAGTTGAGAGATTTTTAGCCATTGAAAAATTTAAGCCAGAACCCTATTGGAAAATAAAAGTTACGGATATTCGTGATCAAATTTCAGTAGAATTTAAATGGGCAAGGGGCAGGTTATTTGAAAAGTTGCCTTGTGAAGTTTTACTGGACACATGCTTAGAACAACCTAATGCCACTGTACAAAAAATTACAAGTAAACCCAAGAGTAAGTGGAGACCACTACCATTGGATACAGTTGTAAGTATGAAATATTTGTTTAAATAAAAAAGGCTGAGACATACTTTATCTTGGATCACCAAATAAATTTAGGAACTGGAAAAACAAGGATCTCGTAAACTCCATTTGAGTGCCAAGCAAACAATGAAAATCGCAGAAAAATTATATACTCAAGGTCTTATTAGCTATCCACGTACAGAGACAAATATATTTCCAAAAGAGTTAAATCTTGTTCCTTTAGTAAATCAGCAAGTAAATAATTCAGCTTGGGGTGGCTTTGCGCAGCGATTACTAGAAGGAAGATTAAATCCTAGACAAGGAAAAAAGAGTGATCAAGCGCATCCTCCTATACATCCGATAAAATATACCGACAGTTTACAAGGTGCATTTATTGATTATACAAGTTACCACATTAGAAATAAAATTCTTCATTTTATTATAATTAATTGTTTAAAAGCAGGCAATGAGGAGAAAGTTTATGAATTCGTCGTTCGACACTTTTTGGCTTGTGTATCGAAGGATGCATTAGGACAAGAAACAACAGTGGAGATTGATATAGCTGGAGAGAAGTTTATTGCTAATGGCTTGCAAATTATTGAACGAAACTATTTAGATGTGTATATATATGAAAAGTGGAGCGACAAAGAAATCCATACGTACCAAGAAGGACAGATCTTTCAACCTACCAGTATAGACATGGTCCAGGAACAAACGACTCCACCGCGATTATTAACTGAAGCCGATTTGATTAGTTTGATGGACAAATTCGGTATTGGTACTGATGCTACGCATGCCGAACATATAGATACAATAAAGTCACGTCAATACATAGGTATAACGGATGGGAAATATTTAATGCCTGGAAAACTTGGGATTGGATTAGTAATGGGATATGACAACATGGGATTTCATATGTCGAAACCAGATTTAAGAGCCGATCTAGAAAAAGATCTTAAACTGTACGTCTTTCTCGTCAATTATGCAATGATGTAAACAGCTTCACAGACTTCAATACTAATTTCAATTCTTTTCTTTACCATGCAGAATTTGTGAACGACAAAAAGATCCAAAGGGCGTATTACAAACTCAGATAAATAAATATCGTGATGTCTTTAAAACATCATTGGAACGTGCTAATTTAATTGACAATGCTTTGTCTAATTATCTCGACGAACAACCAGGCCAAGCCGAAGAAATGCAAATTAATAATTTACCCGAAGAAATTGCAATTTTCAAGTGTCCTAAATGCAATTTAAATATGACGCTTAAAACGAGAAAACAAGGCTCGGGAAAATATATTGGTTGTATGGGATTTCCAACGTGTAATAACGCAATATGGTTCCCCGACACTGTAGAATCCATTGAAGTATTAGATGAAGTTTGCTCGGAAGTACGCATATTATATTGTATAGTATCGTCAAGTTAAACGACTTGTGATTAATTTATTATTTTTCAGTGTGCAGGAAATATGCGTAAACTGAAGTTCAAGTTAACTCAGAATGCTTTTCCATTTTATGGTACCAGTTACACAACTTGCATCGGCGGGTGTGATCCTTCATTTAATGAATTACTAAGTATTAAAACTGAAAATCTTAAATGTGTTAGACCAACAAATGATAGTGGTTATAACAGTATATTCAACGGATCACGATCGACTGTTGTTTCAAATTCAGCTTCAGTAAGAAACAGTGGATCTCAACAATCTCGTGTTAGAAACGCGACAAATTTATCAGGAAATAACACGTCTATAGGGCTTGTTAGAACTCAGAACAGTAATCAACGCGATGCAAATAGATCAAGAAAGAATAACAGAAATGTTAAAAAACAGAATGAATCGAAAGATAGTGATACGTGGATCGACACAAGAAATTTCAGATCCTCCAGCAACGAGTCCAGACAACCAAGAGTAGAACAAACTAACGCATGGGGTGAGATCGATAGCAATGCTGTTATTGTATGTAGATGTAATGAAAATGCGATTCAGTTAACCGTGAGAAAAGAAGGGCCGAATCAAGGTATAGAGAATAGTTTATTTTAGGTATTTACATGATTAAATTCTCATTTGAACGTAATTTGATTTGATGTTTTTGTGACGCGCATTTCAGGAAGAGCATTTTATAAATGTGCCAAACTTCAAGGTACTGATTGTAATTTCTTTCTGTGGGCATCGGACAATGTACAACAAACGGAAAATAGTGCGGATAGAAATAGAAATAGAAATTATATGCCAAGTGCAAATACTAGCCCTAGGCCAAGCACCTCTAATACATGGCGACAAGGGGATATGTCTGAACCATCTAATGTTAAATGTCATTGCAATCAATTGGCGAAAGAGTGAGTATATATATACAATACATTTTTCGGATTTTTTCAACATTTTAAATATATTTTTGTATATCACAGGCGAACCGTTCAGAAAGAAGGTCCTAATAAAGGACGGCCATTTTATTCGTGTCCAAAGCCAATGAACGAATCTTGCAAATTCTTTCAATGGGCAGATGAAAATGTTGAAAATCATAATGAATCTTTTGGGAACAGAAGTAATAATCGATCTAGAAACAAAGGATCTAATAATGTACAAAGAAAACCTCGAGCTACCGGTGGTAAAAGAAAATGCGGACTTTGTGGAGTGGAAGGTAATATTTTATTTATGTACTGCGATATATAAAAATTATTATATATGTATATAACATTTGTAATTATATTAAAATTATGTTTATATTTTTAGGACATACAAGAAAAACTTGTCCTGAAAATGCAATGGATTAATAAAAATAGTAATACAATTTATCAATAGTAACTGTACATATCTAGAATGGTGTCAAAAATATGAATTTGTTATGTTCCCTGTGATTAGCTGTTATTAATTTTCTATGATCAATATGTGCCTTAAAACAATATATCTTGTACATACAAATACATATAAGTATGTTTGTATTTATTTATTAACAATAAGTTAATTAAAGGTAGTTCTCTTTTTAATGCAATCAACTTCTTTTTAATTTATTTAATTCATCTCTCTGTGAATTAAATTCTGCTGTTGCTTGCGTCAACTGAAAAGAACGAGGAAAATAATAAATAAAGCTGTAATATTAAATACGTTACACATGTTCTATGCTTCTAACAAAATACTGGAAATACTACCATGTCGAGAAGCACTTCAAATTTTAATTTTAATAAATTGTTCTCTTCTTCCAATCTTTTTATCTCTTTCTTGAGCTTCTCGTTTTCCTTAAAGGTCCCTCCAACCTTACCAGACTCTACGATCCAATACATAATCAGGGTTTCGAATCTAAAAACCTATTACTTTAACATTATATTGCAACGTGTTACCTGGAATCCATACACCTGACTCAAAAACAGTCTCTTGATCTCCTAATTTTAAACGTATAGGACCCACGTTCGGTCCAAGCTCTTTTTCGATTCGTTGAGGGCTTAAATCTTTATTAATTAAAAAAACTCCAACTTTTCTGGTAGGCGTCTTTTTCGGAGAGAATTTATTTGAAAACAAAGGCATTTTATTTATTTATCATGGATTTAATATTTAATACTTCAAAGTCAACTTCCTGTTAAGAATAACATGCAGACTCTTTCCACATTACTTCTAGTCGCAGGTCACTTACACCGCTACATTGTATTTTCAAATTCTTGTAAATTGTTAAAATAGGTTAGAATTTCAATATGTTTAAACAGGTATTTTGGACGCAAGTCATAGAGTCGCCATCTAGCAGTAGGGCATTTTCAGAGTTTCTCCCTATACCGGCAATGTGTAAGACAAGGACAGAGCTACTGTGCGACAAGGACGGAGATAGAGTTCCCGATGCCACCTCCTTCGAAAAAGCATTTCATCGGTCCCTGGTACCTACACGTGAAACATGACGACCAAGCAGGTACCCGACAAGGACAGACTTATGCGTGCCTTGATGTAAGACAAAGACAGAGAAGAAGTGGCGCCATCTAGTGACAGCAACTCTGAATTACACGCGATACGTCTAGAAAAGAAACAAAGAAATCGGCAAAGGATTCATTAAAAACTCGACTTGTACGAATAATTCGTTAACATTTGCAATTGGCAATAATAAATTGGATCCTTCCCTACTTTCCCATATCATATTCGATAATATTTCGTTGCGCGTGAATTATTTATCAATTATTTCCTGAATCGATGTCCCGAGGAAACTTAGAATTTTCGGACAGGTGCCCGATGAATAATTCATTTTCATAGTTAATAGACATAATTGCTGAACTTTCGTAATCGACGAGATTAGAACGGACCCCTAGCATCATTTTAGTAACAGTTCTAGTCACATTTGAGTCACAATTAATTAATTACCCCTGACTGTCTGCAGCCGGTATGACATGGACGTAATTTCGGTCCTTGCATCAAAAGTATTCATATAAATATTAACACTCCTTTTACATTAAGAATACTCATGTTTCTGTATTATTCTTTATTAATAATGATTTATAAATTATAATAATTGTGGAGATTAACAGATTACAGTTTACGTTAGCTATACTATAAGTCAATACGTCTTCAGGCTGAGTACTTGATCTTCTAATTCTGCTATTTTCTAGAAGTTTTCAATTACTTTACATTAGTATTGTAATAATATTAAAAAATCGATGAGAAATGTTCATTCAACGTGTAATATACTTTGAGGTACTCTTGTGTTTGGAATTCTGTTGTTGCATCTTTCTCTGCTAATAATGTTTTGTATCTTTTCTCGAGGTGCGCAGCAATATTATCCACTTCACTTTGCTTCTTTGTATTTAGAAGTGTCGAAAATTCATTTCTCTGCTCTTGTAGTTGTAGTTGTAAGCTTTTTATTTCCAGGTTCTTATTCTGTGGTGAAACATAGATTATACATTTATATGATATAAGAAATCGCAATCGCATTATTTGTTGTTGTCATGTAATTACCTGAATCTCTCTCAACATTTTCTTTTCATAATCGTATACTATTTTTTCTTTAGATTTCTCAAGCTTTACAACAGCTTTCTTTAATTCAGAAACTTTCAATGAAAGATTTTCATGCTGCTGTTGCGTGTCGCATTCTATCTCACTTTTCAATCTAATAAATTCATCTTTCAGGATAGTATATTTATTAGTTAACGTGGCTTGTAATGCTTCCTCCTAAATGCAATATTAAAATGTAGTCACGTAAAATATAATTACTTACATTTATCAGTGTAATAGAAGCCAATTTGGTACAACTGATCATACATCTTTCCTCTTTGACTCTAGCTTCATTTCCAAAGAATAAATTTTATTTTTTAATAATTCTATATCTTCTTTTTGCATAAGGAACGATTGTGTCTTTTCTAATTCCTTGTTTCTTTCCTGTGTGAATTGTTCAAACTGATCACATAACGCTTTAATTTTTTCCATCCATTGCTTCTCTATTTCTTTAAATTGTTCATTCTGTAAAAGTGTCTATTATATTCAATACTTCAGAAATAATAGATTTTATCTTACCTTACCATGGATGATTTCTTCGAACTTTTCATCTATGATGGCTACACTGGTATTCAGGGCTCCATTCTTTAATCGAATTTCATCCAATTGATCCTTTACTGTGCTCAACTGTTCTACCACCGTAGAATGATACCGTTGGATAACTTCCTTACAGTAGTCTTCCAGAGAAATTTTCATGTTTTGTACCTCTAGCAGCCTTTAATAATTATTAAACATGTCAACTGTGCTGCCTTTTTCCAAATAACGTTTAATAAAGTACTAACTTAGCTTTTAAAGTAGTAACATCGGATGTTAATTGACTAATACTAGAATATAAATGACTGTCCAAATGATAATTATACTTTTCTGAATTTTCTAATAACTGTTGCTTCAGATACTCATTTTGAGTTTGTAATTCTCCAATAATAATACTCAATGTATCTATGCGCTGTTCATAAATTTTCAACTGATTTTTTCTTATTGCACTTCGATTGTAAGAACCAGCAGTTGGTGGTACATTATTAGAATCCAAACAGTGGTTTATGCTAGTAGTGTCCACTGTACGATGTTTTATTAACGGTTTATATTTTTGATGTTTACATTTAACTGTTTGCTTTAAACACCTATGGAATGGTTTTGCGACGCAGCTTGATAGATCACTTACAGACGAACTACTACAGACCTGTATTATACATTAATTATTTTATTATCTTAATAAATTACACAAATCCTAATATAGGTACCATATGATACGACTTAGGGAATGGCAGAAGAAATCCATTAGGTGGAAGTCTGCTGAAAATTCCTCCGATACAACCTGTCCTCAATTGCCTACATAATTCTAGCAGATATTCGTTTCGCAGACGACGCTGTGAAGTCGCATTGTGCAATTTTTCAAGCCAATCCTTACATAATTGTACATTATCCGCAGATGTCAATTGTAATATGTATGTCCGAACGTGTGTTAGGATTTCCTTAAAAGTTTCATCCAGTTTCACAGCTTCTTGATCAGTATACTCTTCAATTTTTTGCATGATCTTTAGTCGATTCGTTGATAATGCGATGTCGTTTAAACTGAATGAGGAAAAGCATTTTTAAGAAATTTCCACCTTTTAATGGATACTTGCTTTTGTTTCTGTGACACAACGTTATTTTCAAGATGGCCATGAATTATAAAAGAGAATTGTAAGATGAGCATATATAATTAAATTTATTATTCATTATTATTTTTTTCCATACTTCATCTATATTCGAAATTTTCCTATGTTTTACAGATAATTTAATGTGTTACATCGATAAATAGAGTTCAGAGACAACTATTAGATTAGTTAATAAATATACTGATAAAAAAGATCCCATGAAATATGTTACGTATTGCATATAATCTTCTTTACAGATGAACAGTATTATTTTCAGAAAATCTGTGAGAAATTCTTTCTAAGAGTGGAAAAAATACTTGCACATACTATATATGTAAGAAACGCAAATGGTTTAGAAGCAAGTGTAGTAAGCACAATAGCCAATAAATATGGTTATTGAGCTTAATTATTGGGTCGAATCACAAACACTTTAGCCATAGATGTCAAATAAATATGAACAGACAATTAACAATAAATTAATACATTAATTTTAATTACAAGCTTCGTATTTAAAACAAAATAAATTTCTAATAAAAATCAACAACAGTTATCAATGACTCAACCCAATGTATTATAATAATCCTTTCATAGCCAAGTATCACAGAACAGCTCGCAAAATGACAAAGCTCGATGATGACAATTGTCACAAATTCGTTCACCCCTAAGCCAAGTATTAAAATAATCATCCATTCTTTTATAAAATTATATCCCGTGTATTCAACACGATATTACTTTTCTTAAACCTATTTTTTAGTTCGCTACATCTACTTATAAGATAAAGTTGTACAGTTCACTAGATTTTTTCGTACTTTGTTCATCAGCCTATCGTTTTGTAAGTGTTACCTGTATTAGAGTTGGTCATTCAAATGTAAAGCGGATACTTTAAGAGATACTTGCTAAAACACTAAATACGACTATTCAACTTAATTTGATTTTCCGCAGTTTGTTTTAATTCTACGAGTTTTCCTTTCATGGGTTGAATGTTTGTACCAATCCATTCATCGACCATTGTTGAGAAAAAAATACTTTCCATTTGAAACCTAAAGTAACCTTCTAAAGAAGATAATTCCAACAGTAATCTGCAAAACATATTCATTATATTATATATTACACATTGATACTGTCATGAAAATACTTATAAAACATTCCATATAACATACTCCGTGAAAGCAGGAATTAAATTTTCTAACTGCATTGGGTTTGTGTAATTGTTAGCCACTTGCCAAGGATTCATCCATGTCGATATTCTGTAACATTGTGAACATATAATAATGAAAGAAATATTGAATGTACAACATATAAATTTTTACTTACTGTTCACTAGCAACAATATTATGATATTTAGCTTTAAAATTTAGGAACCACTCTACACCTACTGCAACCTGCCATCCAGGAAAGAGCAAATTACTGGGTATTGGAGCAGGTCTTGGCTGTGGTGTTATATGTAAAGGATGATCTATATATCCTAAGCTTTTAGCCACTTGATTGTGTATGTGTTCGGTATAACCATGAAGCCAAACTTTCAAGCATAATGCTAGTGATGGTATTGATGTAGGCAATAATTCACACAATGTTGCATAATGATCATACCTAGAATCAATATATAACAGTACCAACAATTTTAATACAGCTAAGTAGATGAGAATTTACCTTGACCATCCAGTAAATGCTGTTCCTCGAAATTCATGAACTTTATTCACATGTATACTTAATTCTTCTAACCATTTTTCATGATTACTTATATGGTGCCTTATCACCGGGACATGTTGTGAAGATCCAGTAGCACCTTTAAATGCAGTGGCTGCCCATACACGTGGAAAGACTGCAGTATATTTATCCCACAGTCCTGTCAAACAATTCTATATTTTTATATTCGAAGTGGAATATTACAGTAAGATCAATCAAGAAATATTTTACCATGGGGTAGAGCAAAATTATCCCTAGCATTATAATGCCAAATCATGGGTTCTACGTATTTCCCGATATAGTGGTCTAAAAATAATATAAAACACATTTGTGAAACAATTAAATAACAGTTTAACATATAGAAATTACTGTGATACCATTCAAAACCTGTAAATCTATTGATCTTAGCATATCATCCCATATGATAATTTTTAAATAGGGATATGTTTCTTGCACATATTGTGCAACAGCCAGAATATGTTCCAAGTACAGAGATGGCTTCCCATATTTACTAGAGGCAGCACGTTTTGTACATACTGAACAAAGACCTAGATGCCAGACTTCATCTGCACCTATATGCAAATACTGTATATCTGGATGAAAACTAACTATCTGTCGAATTAAGGACTTAATCAGTGGCAATGTTCTTGTATTAGATGGGCAAATTGAGCTTGGGAAATGCTCCACTTCTCTTAAAGATTTCCATTCATTGTGTTTTAAGACAAACTACAATAAATTTTGTATTAGTCAATTTTTTCTTCATTCAAAATTGAAAAATGTGATTCTTTTTTTTTTACCTCCATATGACCAAATGTTTGTACCAAAGGAACAATTGCTAATCCGCAATCTGCAGCTATTTGTAGGATATGTCTAGCTTCTTGGGCTGTATATCCACTGGTAAAACTGCTTAATCCATTGCTCCCTATAAGAGAAAGCTCTCGATTGTATGGAAATGTATCTTCCCATTCTATGAGGATACCGGTAGCACCCCATGTTCTCAAAAGTGGAAATAACTGCAATGAAAATTATGCGCATTTCATAATTATAAAACCATACCATGAACAGGAAATTCCTTTACATTCGAGTGATATTCATTTAGTGTAAAATTTAAGAATAATATTGTATATAATGATTATACATGTGACAATTAACACGAAGACATTGCCATTAAATAAAATCTTATCTCTATGATCAAGGTTTTCGGTATACAAACAAGAGGGGTAAGATTTTATTAAATATAGCAAATATTTAAATAACAATAATTAGTAAACTTGGCTATACACACGTACGTAAATTTATATATAAGTACTCTATATCCTATGACGCACATCAGTTCGATCCAAAACGTAAAATGTAATAGCTGATTTCGTTAAATAAAAAGACTACATTAACGTTATCATTCGAAAGAAAAACAGGATATGGATAACACATGACTAACATTGGAAAAGTATTATCATACTTTGGATATGACAATAAGATTGTCGGGATAAGGATACAGTGTGTAAACAATACAGTTCGGCACAATAACAAACCTTTTCGAAGTAACAAACTCGTGGTGGAGCACCCTTTAGGTCTAAGTGAACCAGCCTGGAAAAAAAGAAACATTTTTCTGTGACACGTCATTTTATTTATCAGAAGAAATTCCAGAATTTCTGTCAATCAGTCGCACGTTTACCTGTGCAAACCAAACGTCAAGTCGTCCATCTTTCCTCCATTACTACAACGTTGATTAAATCGCATACGGAATTAGATTACACTAAATGTATTCCTCTTAAAAAATAATAAAAAAACATTTTTCCATCACATATCGTAGTATAATATTCTTAATCCTTTATATAATAAAATTAATATACACTTTAATGATAATGGGCGGGTTCAAATTCAAATTTGAATAATAATCAGTTTCCAGAATGATTTATATAAAATCAGATATAATTTATACGAAAAGGTAAGTTTCAATAAGTATACGAAGGAAATGATTAATCAGTGAAACTGTTTTTCTCCACGAAATATAACTTTATTTCTGTATATATTTATTTCAGCCTTATATAAAACGCGTTACAACTTTACGCGTAATATTAACTCTCAGACATACAGTATTATTGGTCATGTCAAAACGGTATATCTTGTGAATGGGCGCATATATGCAATTTGCAAATTGCAAGAATGATCGACGAGTACATTACACGATGACAATGTTTAGGGCACCCACAGTGGGTGAAAAGTGTTCATACACTAAGTCTTCCTTTCCATTAGAAATACTGTTTTTCATGTAACACTAAATTAGAAATGATTTACATTAGATTATTTCATAAAGATACAATCTTTTTATTTAAGTATATTCTGATGAAAACGATTTTTAACTTAGTGTGAAGCTAGTGCGAATGAATACTTTTTTCTCCAACTGTATATACTTCTTTCACTTTCTTCTTCATCATGTTTTCGTGCGCTGATACACAAGTTTATCTTTCTTTTTTCCCTTTAGAATAATACACTTAAAAGTCTCTCAGTGGGTTCTTGACACTTTTACAGAGGATTGTACACTTTTGTTCTTCAGTAACCACTCTCGGATGTTGTGTAACACCAAAAAGATTGTACGAGGCTAGATGTTTCAATGAAACATGTACACAAACATTTCCATGAACACAATGCACTAGATGCAACAATGAATAATCCACCACATTTTCATTAAATTGCTCATATAGTAGAAAACTAATTATTATTTACTTACTAGAATGGGTATACAGTATCATAGAATACCTTATAATATTGTTAAAATAGTGTAGGCATCTAATTACCACAGAAATCAATAGTTGAATTCACTAAAATATAATGGAATATTCATTTTTTACATCCAATAGAAACTCATTAGAAAATAGAGTGTAACAATAACGGTGACAAGTAATAAATTAAGAACTAAATGTGCAATCGGTTGGCACTCTTTGTAGATTCTGGTGTACAGAAAATAATAAATGTTGAATTATAAAGAGAAACTAGGTGAAACGGGCAACCAGAAAGAAATATGTCAAACAATGATCTTTTATTATACACAGTCACGCGAAATAATTCGCCTTGTTTGGATAATACCATTA